GCACCGGGCTGCCCTTTGCCCCATTAAGCATGTAAATCACTTCAAGTAAATTAGTGGGTGGGTGGTCTGTTTCTAACATGCACAAGTCATGATAATGTCAAATTCTTGGATCACTGTATCTTTGACATGTCTGCGTTAGTAGAAAATGTTGCCAGCCTTTTGTTAACTTCCTGCCTCCTAATTGTTTAACATGTTTCTCAGTTTTTCCTGACAATATCTTGACAACAGCAAAGAGGAAAATTCAGTTATTAACTATCTTATTCAACTAATGGAATTGTTGACATAATTTTGTATGATGCATTCAAGAACATTAGATAATGGAAAAAATGAAGTTTAGATGTCATGTTTAAATATTCATGGTAATGGGAAGATGATCACTATTCTATCCAGTTTCATGATCACAAGTTTTTGGATGTTATATAATGCATCACTTATAGTTGACACCATCTATGTAGCATGAAAAGAGGAGATAGCTTATGGAGCCAAGTTAGTGTTATGTGTCCTGTTTATCTATTTAAACAAGTTAAGCTTTACTTGATTGAATCTTGCTCAACCTATTCTATCAGAACCTGTGATTACCTTTTGATTTGCATTTTACATCATTTTCAGGAAAAGACAAGGTTTGGTGTCTTTATCCCAACAAGAATGCACCAACAAATTCTGTCAAGGATAGCATGGCCGGGCTTTCTTTTGCAAATGTAGAAAACCATCCTGAGATGGTACTCCATCCTAACTTTTTACTTGGTGATATGGCTAAGTTGTCATTGACAAGATGATTGTGTGGAAGTAAAAGTAGAAACAAAAGAGCAAGTTATTTTCTCATTCTTTTCTTCTCTGGAAGCAATTCAGGGGAATGATGTCGAGACTGGGAAAAGTGAAAAGACATTCCAATCCCTTAGGCCTTAGTAGAAAATAATGGAGCTACCCACAAGGAAATTTTAGATATGTAAATTGGTTTTACTTCTCTATTTCTTCAGAATAAAAAGAGGGATAAGCTATTTTGCTTCTTGTTTTTTCAACTATTTGGCTTCCCTCAAATGAAAGATTCTGTCTTTATGTTTCTCGTGCCAGCCCCCCCACCACACACACACAACTATGAGAGCTCAAGAGGGGTCCTTTCCCGTTTAAATCCCGTTGCTATTCAAATTCCTCCCTAATGGTTGGAGGTGTGGGTTTTTTACCTCTATGCTATCCATTCCTTACTGGCCGGCTAAAGTACAATGACAAAGACTTAATTGCGTGGAATGTACCTATTTATATAGGATGATAATATTTCTTCATGGTGCTATGCAGTTTTTTTTTTTTTTTTTTTGAAACTAAAAGAGAAGTGCTATGCAGTTTCTTTTGAACAAGTGTTTGCCAATAATAGTTTCATATAATGGCAGTTTGACTTGTAGTTTTGCTTCTAAAACCACATGGAAGTGATCATTCATGTGAACTTTTGTTTATGTGATGTTCTCATTTTCCATTGTATGAATATTGACGTTTATGCTGCTATATATAGGCAGATGGAGCCCATTCCTTGAATTTTATTCTAATTGATGGGACGTGGAGCAATTCGGGTGCAATGTTCAGCCGGTTAAAGGTATTTCAGCTCGCAAACGTAACCCTTAATTTTAATTTTTAAATTCAATTCCATTATTAACTAACAATTTTTTGCCATGAACATTGTCAAAGAGAGAGAGAGAAGGGGGGGGGGGGGGATGATAGGATTTGTGTTTTGATAACTGTGGTGTTTGAGTCAGCTTGCGCGCACCTCAACTGTGGTGATTACTTCACTTGCTTTAAAGTTATTTATATTTTATATAATAAGTTGGAAAACCTTGGGGTGCAAAAGAATGATAGATAATAAGTTGAGGTTGAACCAATTAGATTGAAGTACTTATATTACAGGACATTTAAAAAGGTTTTACCTCTACTGTGGTGATTACTTTAGTTGCTTTAAAGTTAGTTGCGTTATATGCACTGTTTCAATTACAGTTGTGCATGTTAGGACCACTTAAATTTATTAATGAAGCTCTATCAGGGGAAATAATAAGATAATTGACTTGCATAGCTGCCGAAAGGGCAGAACACTCGTGTCTTTAATTTATATAGAACTTATACTTTATTATTTTTGAGACAAGGGTAACTATAGAACTTATACTTTAAAGGGCACCCGAAATCGCTAAAAGGAGATTCCACAGATTGGTATTCCAGTGAATGAACAAATGATTAACATCTTCATCAACTTGCTTGGACAAAACAACAGCAGCAAATATGTATTCTATTTCTCCTTAGTTGTTAAAGATGGCTCTTCCCTTTTAAGAGTATGTATATGATTTGACGGTGAACTTTCTAGCATTTGAGCCATCTCAAGTCTTATATGTGCCTTCGAAGCTGGATACCTCATATGCCCTGGACACCATGCCTCCTAATTTCATTAGCCACACTTGCATTTTTCTCACTGGAGATGGAAAATATCTGTTATCTCTGACCTTAATGGTGTATAACCAAAGTCTTATACCACAAACTTATCCTACCTCCCCTCCCAGCAAATATGTTGAATCTTTTCGTCGAAGGACTGAATTACATGGACCGATGTAGGAGAGGTTATTCATCTAGTGCTACTATCCACTCCATATTTGTATTTGCTTATTCAGGGTACTTCCCAAAAAATATCTTCTTCAGTAACGTGTATAAGAAGTACAAAATTGTTAGTTGGATTTAAATGAGTAAAACTTGGTACAATGAATTATTCACGATATTTCTTTAGTTTCACCTCTTTTGAGCCGAGGGTCTATCGGAAACAACCTATCTACCCTACAACGGTAGGGGTAAGATTGCGTACATCCTGCCCTCCCTAGACCACACTTGTGGGAGGGGGGTATGTTGTTGTATTTCCTTAGGATTTATTTGAGTTTGGAAAATGTGAATCAATAAAGACAAACAATTGATCTGAGATGTTTAATGATTAGGATCGGTACAAGTTAATGTGGGGTGAGGAGGAGATTCCTTGCATAACGCTGAACACAGGAGCATCCTTGATGCATAAACTCAGGTAGGATACATGATCCCAAATCTGCAGCGATGGCTCATTCATCTTTATTACTTTCTCTTTGGCTTTTCACGAGTCATGTCTAACGTTTTGGCCATGTGCAGACCCCAACCATCATGGGATCGTACATGTACAGCAGCAGCAGCAATAGGCCTCCTCGATGAGCTGCATGACCTTCCAAATTTTGTGTCCTATGGATTGGATAAACAGGCCAAAGCACTTGAAGATGCCGTGGAGGTTTTGTTCGAAGCACTCACAACTCGACGTCTTCGCATGGGCAGATCCATCACCCGTAAACAAAGACACAATCGTGACTTGTTTTAACAATGGCAGCAGTTGTTTTCACCTTTCTGGCAGATTAACGTCAGCAATTTTAAAGGTAAAAAATGCGTCTTTACAGACATTTCACTGTTGACAAATGGCGAGGCCAAAAGCGAGATACTAGGCCACACATATATACAGTAGAACATCAATAGGACTAACATGTTCTCATAGAGAAGTAATATTCGTTACAAGTTTGAGAGAAATCCAAATCATTTTGGACAATTTTGCTCGGACTTTTTGAAAATGTTGCGGAGTGTGTTGGAACCTCCAAAAGTAGGTACATTTTTAGGAGATCCGACACTAGTGCAGTAACATTTTTACCTCTACCAAGTTGTATGTTCTTTCTATAAATTATTTCCTTTCTGAAATCACTTAAGTCAGAGAGTTCAATTATTGAATAAAATTAATTGCAAGTATGAAATTCATTTAAATATGGACAATAGTATAACTTTTTAATAACACCAGGGCACATATCTTCTTCAATCATGAATCAATGTCTAGTCGGATGAGATTGAATTGATGTTCATACGAAATTGTTACTAAAATAACCTGTCTCTATCTTTTTGGTTGTTCGACATTGAGTATTATTAAAAGCATTGTAGCTAAGGGAGGACGTTCGGATCGGATGTGAAAATTTTGGTTTTCGGACTAAAGAAATTACCAAAGCTATATTTTATTAGTATTAAGAAATTCATTTAATATGTTCAAATATGTGATTCAGAATTCATAATTTAAAAAGGCATAATACATAAACATAATCTTTAAAACTTGGTTTCAGTTGTCAACTATGACCTTTAACTTTGGTTGTGCACAAGTATGCACTTAAACTTGTACTAAATTGAACAAATAAACACATTTGTCCTATATGACAATTTTGTGTCTTATGTGGCGTACTACGTGTATTATGACATGTAGAACACGCGTGTCTATTTGTTCAATTTTATACAAGTTCAAGTGCTTACTTGTGCAAACCCAAAGTTGGAGGTCATAGTTTCCAACTGAACCAAGTTAAAGGGTTATGTTTATGTATTAAAAAATATCTCTCTACTTGACTAACTAAACTTAGATGCATACATCCTCGATTTGCCACTTGCTATGTCTTATACCTACTCTTTTTTCAAATTACAAAGGCCCTTAAATATGGACATCTCTCAACGTCCTGACTCAACATCACATACGTCCCGATACATCACTCAGTTTCGAATACATTGCTTCAGTTTTAGATACTTCGTTCAACGTTTTGATACATCACACCAACTGATATATCACGCAAAGTAACGTCCCGATACATCACATAAATTAGGAATTTTTGTAACTTTTTCAAATGATAGAAAATTTTAGAGAATATAGTAAAATAAGTTGTGTATTAATAATACATCATGCCATTACAAAAAGAAGATAAAATAAAGTTGTCAAAGCTAAACAAATTTGAACCGCAACATCATAAGTTCTTCGGTCAAATCTGATAAACATTGTTTTTCCCATCTTAAAAGGGGGAAAAAAGTTACAATTTGTATGGAATTTGATCCTTGAAACAATCGTATTGTTCTAGAAAATAAAATTTATAATAGGATTCTCAATTACATAATCATAATTAATTTTTTTCTCTAATATATTTCCATCCAAAACTTACTTTTTCCCTCTTCTGTAAACTTATCTGTGAGCAGTGACCAACGTCTCTATAAACCTCAATCCATCAAATCTGGGCGCAAATTTATCTGAAGAGGTTGATGCTTTCACCGGCTTTGAACAATTTTCATCATTTTTCTCCATATTACCGTCCTGAAACAAAAAGAAAGAAATTCAACATCTAAATCCATTTGAATTCAAAATAACTTTTAAGCAGTTTTGTAGCGGTCGTAAATTTGAATTTCAAACAGGATCTAAGTTGCACGAATATTGACACTATTTCCACAGAGATCTACTAACTCACAGCACCGGATAACTAAGTTCTCACCTCCAATTACTTAACAAAATTTGATTTGATTTTAACGAAAAAAACAAAAACGGAGATAACTTTCTCTACACACAAACGACATTAATTAAAGCTACATAGAACAGAGGAAAATCCATTCAAAAAACACTTGATTTTTTACCTTGCGAAGAGAAATTCGAACTTTAGAAACAGAAGAGATGGTGGCAGTGGCGGTGGCGGTGGCGGCAGCAGAAACAGAGGCTGCTAAGAGAACTGATTTCTTCATGTTGTTTTTGGATGGAAATAAGGGATTTGGGGGAATTAAATTGAATTGAATGAATTGAATTTGATGGTAGTTTAGAGAAAGTGGGAGGAAGTTGGGAGGTTATATTTATATAGGAGTAATTGGGATCATATAGCATATGGGCTCACAAAAAGTACGCCGCAATACAAATACAACTATTCTCTATTTATTTTTTCAAAACTAAATAAAATATATTTACTAGGGTAGGCCCCATGAATAATGTAGTACGTGAAAATTGAATCATTTAATCACTCCTAGACTCTATGATTAGTTTCATTTTCAAATTATTGACAATCTTAAAAACACTAATTTAGGTGTGTTTTCAATACTTCTCCCAACTTTGCAACAACTAATTGAACTTAGATACACTCTTGAATTCTCACCAAGTTTAGTGGTGTTTTCAACACTTCTCTCGACTTTTTATTAAGAGTATTATGCTCCTACAAGAGTTTAAGATTACCTGTTATGTGAGGTGGCAGATCGGAGGTGTATGTATCTAAGTTTAGTTAGTCAAGTAGAAATGTGTTTTTAAGGCAAACAACAATTCGACGATAAAACTAATAATTTGTGTGTTAAAAAATGTTTTCAATATTTCTCTCATTAACTTTAATCAAAGACTTTGAATTTCAAGTATAATATGAAATTATTTTTCTTAGAAAATGTGTTACGTAATATTTATACTTCCAAAAAAATTAAGTATTAGACTAGATTAGAAAAAATTAATTAATTACATCTTGTTTTTTCATAAACTGACAAATTATTTAAAACATATAATTTTAATAATGTGAACAAATAATATAAAATAAAAGAAGTACCTCATAAAATAACTGAGATACGTACGAGCTTGCCTTACACCATTGTTGTAACTTGTAAGAAAGGTCCGATATATATTTATTTTTAATTCCATTGTAACCTCATACAGTCATACATAATGCACACGATGACACGAATGATATTTGCACGAGTATATTATTTTATTTTCTACGCCCTCCACTTATTATTACTTACAATTTACAATATTAAATTGGCACATACTTTTAAAAAGCAATAAATAGAATGACAATTTTACTGTCATTTTTTGAATATAATAAATTTAATATAGTAAAAATTATTACAATTAATAATAAAAGTAAATTAAAAATTATATTTTTTTTTAAATTAGACAAGCAAATATAAACATTTTTTTATAAATATAATTAAAAAATAAATTATTGATTAAATGACAAAAGGGTCTTTTTAGTTCTTTTAAATTTTATGGGTCAAAGGGAATAATAATTTAGATTACGAACACCCTTTTATCAATCAAGTGCACGCATTCCAACGATTGGCACTTACCGGAGAAATTTGTCATGTAATAAATTATCCGGTAATCCCCAAAGGTGCACTGGATTAAAGCCACCAGCCACCTGGCTGCTTATACATTTAGGGTGTGTTTGGTATGAAGGAAAAGAAAAAATGTTTTCCAATTTTCTCGTATTTGGTTTGGTTAAATGTTTTTCAAATCAATTCATTTTTCTCAAATTTAAGAAAAATAACTTCCCTTCAAAACTTAAGAAAAACATTTTTCAAAACTCTCTTCCAACTTCAAATTACAATTAATTTCTACTCTATTAAAAATAAAAGATATTTCTCAAAAACATTTTTCATTCATAAATCAAATACAAAATCTTTTCTAGAAAATATTTCCTACTCACCAACCAAACATGAGAAAATAAGTAAAGAATCAACTTGTTTTCCAGAAAAACATTTTCCTTCGTACCAAATACACCCTTAATGGTCCGGATGAATTTGTGTTATACTATTTGGACATCCCTTCTATTTGCTTGAGAAGACAAATAGAAGAGATGTCCAAATAGTATAACACAAATTCATCCGGACCATTAAATATATAAGCAGCAGGTGGCATTAATCCAGTGCGCCATTGAGGATTACCGAAGGCTTTATTACTGGACTGGATCCTTTTCCTGGAAATTCACCTGGTAATTGGAATTGGTATAATTATTAGGGTAGTAATTACCAGCCTAGTAATTACACAGTCTAGTAATTACACTGACCAATTTGATTGTCACATTGTAATTACACTGTAATTACACATGTCATGTTTGGATGCCACAGTGTAATTACACATGTTGTGTTTGGATGCACAATTGCAATCATAAAATTATATTAAATTTTAAAAATAAAAATTAATTATTTAAAATTTATACTAGACAAATAAGAAACTTTATAAATGATATTAAATTAAATACTTAAGATATATATTCTTTTTTGAAAATATTTTAATTAATAAACATGTTCTTAACTATTATTATGAAAAAATTATTGATTTATATTTTTTCAAATTAATATATTTCAATTGAATTGATCATAAAAACTAAAAGTATGAAGTTTCTATGAGCATTGTGAAATGTATGTTTGATAAAAAGATTAATATATAAATAAAATGTCATAAATTATTAAATGTTCGATAAAAAGATAATCTATCAAGTCTAATTAAAAAATGACTTGCAATGTGAATTCAATATTACTAAAATAAATGAAACTGAAAATATAACATAAGTTATAAATTCAAAACAAAAAATTTAACATAACACTCTTATAGCAATTTCAACATAGCATACATAAATATGATTTATTTTTATTTTAAAAAAAGAAAAAGAAAACGTAAGTCTATAACCTTACTTAACAATAAATTCTATTTTAATTTAAAAATTAGAATACTAATAAAATTATGCTAATGAAAAAATAAGCATGGCATAAAGAAATAGATAATACGAAAAAATTACATAGAATCACGTGAAGTACGGTTGAGAACGAGAAGAAAATGAAATATAATAATATAAAATATAAAATAAACTTTTAGAAAATTTTAGAATAATAAAAATAAAAATAGAACTTAAAATAATAGAAGTAAAAAAAATTTTTAAAAAAAAATTAAAAAGTAATCAGCTGGTAATTACACCATGTAATTACCAACAATTCACAGCCTCTGTCTGTGAATTGTAGAGTGTAATTACCCCCTGCCAATTACCTGCTGACCAAGTACCTATCCAACCAAACAGGACAGACAGTGTAATTACACTCAATTACACCAAATCCAATTACCAGGGTGTCCTTCCAAACAGGGCCTTAATGGTATTAATAGCTCAGACTCAATTTGTGTGATATATTATCGAGTTTTGAATTTAATTTAATACTCCCTCCATTCCATAATTTTTGAGGCATTTTTCATTTTTCAAATTACCTTAATTGTTCAGTTTTCAAGACTAGTTTTAGAGTGTTCTTTCAATTTTACCCTTCATTTGAATTTTCAATTTGATGACTTCAATAAATTTGACAATACTTAATAAGATGGAAAACTATGTTTAATTTATGTCTTAAGCTGCTTTTCTTAAAGGGTGTGAAACACCTCAAAAATTCAATTAATATGAAATGGAGGGAGTATTACGTAATTAAAATTTAAATATCAAAATATTATAGGATAAGTAGTATTAATAATAATTCTTTTTATACCAATATAATATAAACATATATTTTAAAATATTGATTCAAATTCATCTAATTCAAATGTTAGTATTTGAAAGGAATAATTAAATTTATATAATACTAAATTTTAAAATTAAATTTATAAAATTTAAATCGTGAACGTGACTCTAACGATTGTTTTGAGACACATCTGCAGTGCCAGGTTGGATTATTTTGGGAGACAAAGCTTCGGTTGAAGTTGAACGTCGAAGTTTGATAGGTAGATATTTTGAAGTTATAAACAAAGCAAATGAGGACACGTGTATGCATTGACAACAGTCCACAACAACCATACATTACTTCATGGGAAGTTTTTTTTTTTTTTATGTTAGTTACTTGCATCGAGGAAATTTCACATTAGAATGAAAGGTTTCATAATAAAAATATTTCTATATAAGAAAAGACTTGAATCGAATTACTGACTCAGAGTAAATGAGTACTTATTATTCCACCACGATAAAAGTTGATATCTCAGAATTCACAAAACATCGAACTCCATTTTCCATCTATTCATGTTTTCCCCGACAGATTACTATCCGTCAGCAGTATTCTGCGGCTGAATGGATAAATCGAGTCAAAATCAGAATTTAAATTTTAAAATAAATAAAATCTTTCTTGAATATGTTTTTGTTATTTCTTGGGTGATTTGATTTTTTAACATTGACCTTGTAGTACCCTTCCACGTTTCTCCTTCTCTTTTCAATTTATAGAATTCACAAAATTTAAAAGACTTCTAAATACTTAACACGAATTCAATTGTATCTATTTATTTTTTTCGAAAATTCAAAAGTTATTCTACTCCAACGAATTTGGAATCACAAAATAAAATATATATATATATATTACAAAGTTAATGAAACAAAAACACTCAAGGAAGGAGAAAAGGACGCGTTCGTCCAATTCCTAACCAAATGGAGTTTTGTTTGTAGTCGGTTAACAAATATTTCTTCCATCCCATTTTAAATGGCAGCGTTTGAGTTGATATAATTTTTTTAAAAAAAACAAGTATTCTTGAAACTTGTGATTTAAAACAATCCTTAAATGATAAAGGGGTATCATTAGAGTGTAACTGTCATATATTAATATATCAAAATTCTGTACTATCATATCACCTAATTAAAAAATAATTATAGATAATTATTTATAATAAGTAAATTAATAATCTGAAAAGCAATTTTGTTAAAATACAAAAATAAAATAGAATTTCTTAACGGATAAATGAGCTAAAATCATATTTATTGTCAAACTAAGACACATATGGACCCATTTTGGCTGGAAATATGTTCAATATGTGAGGATTATAATTTATACAGCTAAGTTTAATTCAAGTAGGATCATGACATGTGGACGTCCACTTTCTTGTCACCCACTCTTTTTGCATCAATTATTAAAGAGTTAAATTATGTGACTAGTAATTTGCCAAGTCATGGAAGTTGCAATTTTATTTTATTTTTTATAATTGTAGTGTT